GAGGGAGGGGGGATCCCTGGCTCCAGGGGAAGCTGCGGAGCAGGGGGCCTTTCCCAGGGGGACACACAGAGCTTTTGGGGCCTAGGGGCTGCTCAGCCGGCCCCTCCCCACTCCCCTGGAGGCCCAGCACTCAATGGGGAGCTGTGCTGGGTGGGGGCCGGTTGCTGGGTCGCCGTGTCGGCCCCTCCCCGCCCGGGGTCTGCGTCTCACGGCCTGTCTCCTTCTGCTCCCAGAGCCCACTCTGCCCAAGCCCTCCATCAGCCCCAGCGGGGAGGTCTCCCTGGGGGGAGTTGTGTCCGTCCAGTGTTGGGGGCAGGGCCAGGGCGTGCGGATCGTGCTGAATAAAGGGGGACGCCATGTTGCACACGTGGATTCGGAGAAGCCGGAGTTTGTGTTTCCCATCAACAACGTGCGCCGGGAACAGGGCGGGAACTATAGCTGCTCCCATCACAGCAGGTCGGAGCCGTTCGTCAGGTGGAGCGACCCCGTGGAGCTGGTAGTGAGAGGTGAGGGGCCCGGCTCGGCGTCCCCGTTCCCAGCCCCACCCCCATCCCCAGCAAGACCCTCACGGGGGCTCGGTACCAATGGGACGCTCAGAGCCAGGCTCTATCCTGAGCTCTGACCCCAAAGAGGGGACGCCCGGCTGGGGAGTGGGGACGGAGTCACTGGGGGGTTCCCCAGCCAGGGTGGAGCAGCAGCTCCTGGAGGCGACTTTAACGCTGTCCCCAGTTTGTATGAACCGTGAGTCGCTATTTAATCCCGTGATCCCCTCCCCTCTGTTCTCCAGCGCCCGCCCCAGGCAATGTCCCGGCCCGGGCTGAATGAGGCAGGGGCTGCAGGAGAAGCAGTGGCTTGTTGGTCACAGCGCTGGGCTGGGACCCAGGAAATCTGGCCCAGCTCCTGCTGCGGCCATAGACGCTGTGTGATGGGAGCACACCACGGTTCTCAAAAGTGTCCTTCATTGTGGGGGGGCCTCAATCTTCAGGGTTCTCAGGCCGAGCGCCCACAAACCGAGATACCCACAGTTTGTGGAGACCTCTGCAAACGCTGGCCTCAATAGCGCTGGATCCCTTGTGTTGCGGGTGCATGTAGGGCCCCTGCCATGATCAGGGCCCTGTTGTGCCAGGTGCTGCATAAACACAGAGTGAAGAGACAGTCCCGGCCCCTGGGAGCTCACTGAGGAAAGTGACTATGTCTGTGCCTCAGTTTCCCGCTATGTAGAATGGGAGGCTGACTCCCTTCTTGTGTGCGGCTCAGGGCCTGTGGTGCTGGGTGGTGCCGGGCACCAGAGACCAGCCTGTGAGTCGCTCTGTGCTCGGGGGGCTGGATACAGCGAATGAGACCGGGGCCACACACAGGCATATGAGGATCCCAAGAACTAGGGAGCTGCGGCTCGATGTCTGTGGGGCTGGGAGCCCAGCTCGCAGGGCCGGGATTCTGCGTGGGGGGAACTCTGGGTTCTGGGAGAGAATCTCTGCCCGGGGGCCCCAGGATCTGTCCATGGCTGGGGCCGGTTGGGGAGGCCGGGGCTGGGTGGGTGCCCGGGTCTGGCTCTCACGGCCTGTCTCCTGTGCGCAGATCCCAGCTTACCCAGACCCTCCATCTCTCTGAGCCCCACTGGGGTCACCGCCCCAGGGGCAAACGTCACCATCCGGTGTCAGGGGCAGCGCCAGAATGTGACGTTCTTCCTGCACAAGGCTGAAGACCAGAACCTGCAGCAACACATGGACCCTGCTGGGGATGGGGCCGAGTTCCGCATCCCCACCGTGGGCCGGCAGCATGGAGGGAACTACAGCTGCAGCTACCGGCCCCAATCAGAGCCCTTCGTCTCCTCGCAGCCCAGCGACCCCGTGCAGCTGCTGGTGAGAGGTGAGGGGACCGGCTCGGCATCCCCGTTCCCAGCCCCACCCCCAGCCAGACCCTCGCGGGGGTCTCAAAGCAAGTCTAGGCTGTCGGAATTAGCGCCCCCGGTTCGATACAGCCCCGTTTGGCAGACAAGCTCCCCTGTAGCTCTGTAGACACAGGGACATTCCTCCTCCGAAATAGGGACAGGCGCGCCCAGACCTGCTCCGCAGTGACTCCAGGTGTGAATGGCACCTGGCTGGGGCAGGGACGGTCTCCTGGCCTTCCTCTGTTACAGGAAAACCCGAGGAAGTGAGTGCCCCGCCCAGCGAGGGAAGGGTTAAAGCCGCTGCTAAGCCGGGCTGTAAAGGTCTCATAGCTTGGATGGCAGACAGGGAAGGAAACCCAGGGGCTGGGGGCGCACTCCCCTGGCAGTGAGAGCTGGCCCCAAAGCCCCTGGGCAGCACTAGGGGGCGCTGGGCTGTAGGGGGGCTGGGGCAGGGGGCTCGGTAGGAGCCACTGTGCTGCCGGGGGTGGGAACCTGTCTCTAGGGTATCCAGGCTCAGCAGCTGCAGGGGGTGGGGCTCCCCCTGGCAGAGCGTGGGGGGCAGGGATTCTGTCCTGGCCCCCCCTGTCCCGGCTGCCCTGTAGGGCAGAGGGGCAGGGCTGATACATGGGGATCAGAGTCGACTCATGGACAAATCTGCTTCATGTCTTTGCAGGGTAAGGACCCGCCCCGAGACAGAGCAGATGAGACCCCAGCTCTGCTTCCCACCCCGATCTACCTGCCCTACGATTCAGGACTCCTGGGTTCTCTCCCTGGCTCGGGATGGGAAGTGGTGTGCAGTGGTTACACTGGGGGGGGGGGGGGGGGGGGGGTTTTTATGTTGTACTTTTTAGTTATTTTCCTAATGATAGGTTGATTCTCATTAGTTGATAACCATTAAAAATGTTGATTTGCAA